TGGGGATTTCCTCGTACACCTCCAGCATGGTGGGGTTTACAATTCCCATGTCCATTCCATGCTGAATACCGTGGTATAAAAAAGCCGCATGCATGGCCTCCCGCACCGGCTGGTTTCCGCGGAAGCTAAAGCTCACGTTGCTCACGCCACCGCTCACTCTCGCACCTGGTAAATTTTCTTTGATCCATTTCGTAGCCTTGAAAAAGTCTACCGCGTTTTTACGGTGTTCGTCAATGCCCGTGGCCACGGGAAAAATATTGGGGTCAAATATGATGTCCTCGGCTGGGAAGTCAATCTTCCGCAAAAGCTTATACGAACGCTCGCAAATTTCAATGCGCCTCTCGTAGGTATCGGCCTGCCCCTTTTCATCAAAGGCCATGATAACCGTAGCGGCCCCGTAGCGTCTGATCAATTTGGCGTGGTGCAAAAACACCTCTTCTCCTTCCTTCAGACTAATGGAATTTACAATGCTTTTGCCTTGCAGGCATTTCAAACCGGCTTCAATAATTTCCCACTTGCTGGAATCTACCATAACGGGAATGCGGGCAATGTCGGGCTCGGCTGCCATCAGGTTGAGAAACTTCACCATGGCCGCCTGGCCGTCCAGCATGCCCTCATCCATGTTGACGTCAATAATCTGAGCGCCACCTTCTACTTGATCGCGAGCTACTTCCAGGGCCTCATCGTAGTTCTCCTCCTTAATCAGTCGCAAGAACTTACGCGAGCCGGTTACGTTGGTACGCTCGCCAATATTTACGAAGTTGGAAGATGGTGATATAGTAAGTGGTTCTAATCCGGATAGTTTCATCATATCAGTTTAGAGTCGGCAGACCGCAGTCCGCAGACATCCTTAATTAGCAGTTATTGAGTTTCTCAACCCTTGGGTTATTTTGAATACTTCCTCAACCTTTTCGTAGGTTGATTGAAAAATTTCATCTGAAATCAACTTTCTCTTTCTGGCAATGTGAAGTGCGGCAATAACCTCAACAGCAGATCGAAGAGCGTATCCTAAAAATTTAGAAAACTCCTTATTTGACTGGCCAGTGGAGCCTTCTGCGATATTCAACCCAATAGAATCTGCCGCTCGCTTTATCTGTGAGGTTAAAACATACTTTTCATCCTTGGGAAAAGTCAGAGTTAATTCATGAATCAAAAGGCTTACATCCAATGCCTTCTCCCAAGCGATCAGTTTTTCAAACTTAAATGCCATAATATTTAGATTCTGGTTAGTTACTGCTTAAGCTTCTGTGGACTGCCGACTGTGGTCTGTAGTCTGTGGTCTGCCGACTGTATTCCTCTTGGCTCGTATTTACCTGCTAAATCAGCAATCGCCTCAATATGCTCCGGAGTTGTCCCACAACAACCCCCAATAATGTTCACTAAACCTAAATCCAGGTATTCTTTGATTTGAGCGGCCATTTCTTCAGGGCCCTGGTCGTACTCACCAAAGGCATTGGGCAGGCCGGCATTGGGATGGGCGCTAATTAATGGCTGGGATATGCGATTGAGNNTGTTCTGCGCCCAACGCGCAATTCAGACCGATGGAAAAAATAGGCACGTGCGAAAGGCTGATGTAAAAAGCTTCAGTGGTTTGTCCCGACAGCGTGCGCCCGCTGGCATCGGTAATAGTACCGGAAACCATTATGGGATAGGTTTTGCCCAAGGCATCGAATAAATCTTGTAGGGCAAATAAAGCGGCCTTGGCGTTCAGGGTGTCAAATACGGTTTCTACCAGCAATATATCCACTCCCCCTTCTATCAGGTGTTGGGCCTGCTCGCGATAATTCTGCACCAGCGTATCAAAATCAATGGCGCGGAAACCCGGGTTATTCACATCGGGCGAAAGGCTGGCGGTTTTATTGGTGGGCCCAATGGAGCCCGCTACAAAGCGCGGCTTCTGCGGATCTTTGGCGGTAAATTCATCCGCGGCAGCGCGCGCTAATTTTGCCGCTTCAAGGTTGAGCTCCGGCACCAAATCTTCCATGTGATAATCGGCCATGGAAATGCGCGTGCTGTTAAAGGTGTTGGTTTCAATAATGTCGGCTCCAGCCTCTAAGTATTTCCGGTGGATATCTAAAATGGCCTCCGGCTGGGTAAGGCTGAGCAAATCGTTGTTGCCCTTTAGGCTGTGCGGATAATCCGCAAACCTTTCGCCACGGTAATCTTCTTCTGAAAATTTGTGGCGTTGAATCATGGTGCCCATGGCGCCATCTAGCACCAAGATGCGTTTTTCGGCTGCAAGAGCCAAAGCGTTTTTCGTCATAGTTAAATCATTTACCTATGACTTTCCAGATATTTATTTTTTCAAGGATTCGTTCTGCGAACTCACCTTATCTTCCTCCGATGTGCATCGGAGTGGGAGGTAGCACCCGGCTAGCCCGGGTTGCTAAGACTTCAAAGGGCCCATTCCCTCAGTCTTTCTGGATAAGTCAGCCACAAATGTAGGTGCTGGCTTTCATTGTTCCAAATCTTGTGGCTGTACCAGGCGGAAAATATTTTGCTTTTCCATATTGGTATAAGAATACCTGTAAACCAAGCGCTGGTTGTGGCTCTTGCGATGCCAGACTTGCTTCTTTAGCCGGTCTATTAAAAAAACGCTCTCTACTGTTCCCACCACACCGTCTTCTACCACCCGCACGGGAACCAATTGATCACCAATCTCCTCCATGTGTATCCTAGTGTGGTTAAAATCGTTGTAGCTCAGGCGATATATCAGGCTGTCTTCCTGGCTTACATTTTTCCAAATTACCCAATTGTTGCCCTCCCTCAGGCGCCTATCGGGCCATTGCCCATCGCCCGGCCTTTCTCTCCATCGGCTATTGGCCTGCTGCAAAAAATACCAGGGTTGAATGGTTTGCGCCACGCTGCGCAGGTAGTCATTGCCGGCAACTTTGTAAATCTGGCCATTGCTACCAAAGTAAAAAACGGCCGTATCAAGCATGGCATCGCCTTGGTAAATTTCTACATCAACCCTTTTAAGCCAGCTCAAATGGTCAACGCTTTTCTTCATTAATATGCCCATACAGGTTAAAGTTTCATACGGCATATTATTGAAACTCCAGGTCCTTCTGCGGTCCAAAACTATGGCACCATCCAGGTTGCGTCTTTGCACTTCAATTGGCAGGCGGTTCTCGGGCGGGCCTTTAGAAACCGGCAATTTGTATTCAAAAACGCCCATTTCATAATAAGCAGCCTGGGGCATGCGGTAGCCGGGGTAAAAAACTTCTGCTTTTTGCTGCCGCGGAAGGAGATTCAGGCTATTGCTAGCGGGAGCGCTCACCGTGCGAAAATTTGTGCACGAAGCCATCAGCAGGCCACAGAAAAGGATAATAGTTTTTTTCATTTGGAAGATTTTGGAGTTGAAACACAAACTTCCTGCCAGTAATGTAGAAGCGCCTATTTGCAAAAAATCACTCCTGAATTGAACGATGCCAGGATTTCATTTCAGACTACTACAACGGCCCCAAAAATTTCCATCGCATGTCCTAATCTGCCGAATGTACGGCAAAAGGGGCTTCTCAACTTTCGCTTAAAATGCTGTTTCAACTTTCAATACTTTTTCTACATTTGCGGCCGCAGTGGAAAGATTTGGCTGATTGCAACCACTTGAAAAAATGCTAAAGCAGTGTCTGTTAGCATTCGCCAAAGCTCTTTCTTCTAAACTAAGTTTCTAACGTTTTAACTAAAAGCGAATGTCCTATTTATTTACCTCTGAATCCGTTTCTGAAGGCCACCCCGATAAAATTGCCGATCAAATTTCTGATGCGCTTATTGATCACTTTTTAGCTTTTGATCCACAGTCGAAAGTGGCATGTGAAACATTGGTTACCACCGGCCAGGTGGTACTGGCGGGCGAGGTTAAGTCTAAAGCCTATGTTGACGTACAGAAAGTGGCCCGCGAGGTAATTCGCAAAATTGGTTATACCAAAAGCGCCTACATGTTTGACGCGGATAGCTGTGGCATTCTATCGGCTATTCACGAACAATCGGCCGACATTAACCAGGGCGTTGATCGCGGCAGCATTTGGGAGCAAGGCGCGGGCGACCAGGGCATGATGTTTGGCTACGCCACCAACGAAACCGAAAATTATATGCCCCTGGCTTTGGCCTTAAGCCACTTGCTGTTGCAAGAACTGGCGGAGCTGCGCAGAGAGGGCAAAGAAATCCCTTACCTGCGGCCGGATGCCAAGGCACAGGTAACCATACAGTACAGCGATGATCATCAGCCGGAAAAAATCAAAACCATTGTGGTTTCCACCCAACACGATGATTTTGACAGCGAGGCCAAGATGCAGGAGAAAATTCGCGAAGACCTCATCAATATTTTGATTCCCCGCGTGAAAAAACGCGTGAAGCCGGAAATTCAGGAATTATTTGACAATAACATTCAATACCACATCAACCCTACCGGCAAGTTTGTAATTGGCGGTCCACACGGTGATGCCGGACTAACCGGACGTAAAATTATTGTGGACACCTACGGTGGCAAGGGCGCCCACGGTGGTGGCGCTTTTAGCGGAAAGGATCCCAGCAAGGTAGACCGATCGGCCGCCTATGCTACGCGCTATATTGCCAAAAACATGGTGGCCGCAGGTGTGGCCGACCAAATGTTGGTGCAGGTTAGCTACGCCATTGGTGTGGTGGAGCCTACCGGTGTTTTTGTAGACACCTATGGCAGCGCCAAGGTGAACATGACAGACGGGGAAATTGCCGAGAAAATTCAAGAGATATTTGATCTACGCCCCGGCATTATTGAGCGCGATTTGAAATTGCGCAATCCGATTTATTCAGAAACGGCCGCCTACGGCCACATGGGCCGCGCCTACCAACCGGGCGTAAAACGCAGTTTCACGCAAGCGGATGGCACCGAAAAAGAATTTACCGTTGACCTCTTTACCTGGGAAAACCTGGATAAGGTTGAGGAAGTGAAGAAGGCTTTTGGGATTTAGTGACTGGTTAATTAGTTGACTGGTTAATTAGTGGATTAGTTGATTCACTGAGGAGCTAAAGGTTTTAACCCGTTAGGAGGTTATGCGCGAGAAGCGTTGGCCGTCTGACGGGTTTTTCTTTTTCAAAATAGGCTTCATGATGATCACCNNTTGAAGGGGGCAGGGGGATGATTTTTTAGCTGCAGCCTGGGCTTCGACAAGCTCAGCCTGACGAGCTGCTGACAAGCCCAGACGTCTGTCACACTGAGCCTGTCGAAGTGCACTCTTCATTCTAAACAATTAGTCTTGGGCTGGTGCAAGCGTCCATACTCGTGCTGGCAAGCTACTTCCTACTCCCCTTCCAGGGAG